AGAGCCCAGCCCAGAGCCTCCCTTCCGTCGCGGCGCCAGGCTGCGGGCGGGGCCCGGGCGCGTGGGAGGCCGTTGAACGCTGGGTCTCGCCAGTGTCCCTGGGCTGGGAAAAGAGGACCCGGGAGGAGACCTGCGGTGCCAAGGAGTGTGTCTCCGTGAGGGGCCCCAAGCCGGAAGGACAGGTCACGCTAGGGGCCGGCAGGCGACAGGCTTACCATGGGTTCACCGGGAAGTGGATCATCCTACATAGCTGGGGATGGGCGGGGCGCATACAGGCGGCCAAGCACCCCCCACCTCTGTCCAGTTCATGCTGTCTTTTGGGGTCCTACCCACATAGATCCGAGTCCCCACTCTGTCCAGGAGGGGACCAGACGGAAGTGAGCAGAGGAGCAGGTCGCAGTCTCCTGCCCCGGGGGAGGGCACCCTCCCTCCAACCAGATGACCAGCCTCCCTCCCGAGAGGATCGGGTGGGCCAGAGCTCAGCCTTCCCAGCACATCTGGCAGGCATGTGCTGGGGGTAGGGGCCCCGCTTGGGAAGCCAGAGTCCTCCTGGCTGGGAGGCCCAGGGGCTCTGTCTTCAAGCGCTCATCTGCAGGAACTGTGTGCAGTGGTGAGGCTCAGTTTCGCCAAAATCTTTATTGGTGCCTAGGCCTGTGCCAAGCTCTGTCCCTCCAGTGGTGTGATACTCGAGCAGCCTGCCCGGCTTGCCGCACCGAACGGAGCTGAGCTCCGTGCTCTCGTCCAGATGGCCACCGGCACAGAGGACCGCAGCCAGGACATGCGACGGGGACTTAGGAGGGAACGTTTCTGGAAGATGTGTTTTGAGGAAGGGCTGACGGAGGCTGGATAAACGCTGGGGACCAGGAAGACGCAGAAGGGCCTGTGGAGAGGGACCAGCAGGAGGGCTGGCTGAGTGGGCTGGAAGGGGTGGTCAGCCTCTCTTCGTAGGCTCTGGCCCCGCCCGGCCTGGGAGCAGTCTGTTGGGGTCTCCGAGCCAGGGCGCCTC